CCCCCACTAGCTTTTCACAGTCATACGACGCCAGAACACATTCAAGTTTCTCAATGCATAAGTTTCAAAACTATTCAGTCTTCTCATGACGAAAATTCGACTTGAGCCATAGAGTGCGAATATTGGATGGAGGATTCAATAAACTTCTTAATCAAATGACATCTTTATTAAACAGCGACATTTTCAAAAAGGGAATATAAATCTGTTTCATGATACACAGCATGGATCAATTATATATAGAACTCTGGATCTAAGGATTCCTAAAAGTCGTATACATGTACTTATTTTTTATTAACAATACAAAATAGTAGTAATTCTTTCCTATTCTTCTTGTTTTTGTTTTTTTTTATTTCACAGAGGGGCTCTTCAAATTACTTTACCATTAAACTCGTATATTTTATGTAATGTAAGTGGAAGGCTATCCCTGACTGGAATCCAATACCCTGCAATAAGTAAAACAATTATTTTAAAAATTGTAAATAAAACGGGGGAAACATTCTCAAGTTTTGACCCAGGTCCAAAAATCCTGTTCCGCTTTAAAAAGAGAGTGTTATTCGTAGCAAAACAGCAATGCAGCTGCGTATTACGTCTGTAAAAGTTGTCAGAAAGTGTTTACATTAGGCTTCAGTTTTTTTCCTTACCAAATAAACTAGCGAATGTCACGCGTATTAATGTGTTACAGGTGTCTGTTCAATTTCACAATGCTTTTGTCCATTTCTCCGAAATAAAAACAAAACTGAATAAAATAGCAACTGGTGCTGCTTTCCCCCTTTTTTTATACAGGGTGATCCAAAAGTCTCGCCCCACCCCCATAACCCCCTAGGTGCTTGAACTTATTTGAGGCGGTCTCAAAAATAGTTTCCTCTTAATCAGAAGCACTCACAAAATTTCAAGTCTCGATCTTAATTTGTTCAAAAATTACAGGAGTGATGCTTGTGCTAGCGGTGCGGAAATTTTTGGATCACCTTGTATGTAGACACTATGTATGAAGCTCATCTTGCATAGAGCCTAATCTGAAAAAGTAGTCGGAGAGGTTCATATGCTATCTTTGTTTCGTCCTGAGCCTTTAGCCATATTCGGATGTCATTAAACAGATGTGATCGATCAAAATCTACACCTGTAGATTAGAGGAGCATCAAAGGTATTTCAAAGTAGGACGTTCTATCAGTTACGCCATTGTGATTCTTTTCAAATTGCCCACTATAGATGAATAGATTTTCCGCAGTGAAGTATTCGCACATGCTCAATCGCTTATCATTTCCGCAACTTTAGGTAAATGTCGATAGCATCCTGTACCTCCCGTTTTGCCCGTTCAAAATTTCTCGAGAGTTTCGAAGTAACGGTTAGTCTGGGGCGACATTCTTTTTCAAAAGATCCCAAAACGGTTTTATCTTGATATTGTGTGTTATGCTCTATTTTTACCCCTGCATCCCTTTCTTGGTACGCATAAGATGGATTTTAGAAAATATAGGATTAAAAAGATAAAAGACTGATCAATTGTCATTATATTTTATTCACTAATGGATAATTCGTTTTTAGCGTTTAAAACTGGACTTCCATGAACTTTTTCAGTGAGCCTCAATGGATACCTATGGATTTCCCCCCAAATTCTGTGTTATTCCTAAGCAAATACCAGGTCATTAAAGATTTTCATAAAAATTAGCTGTTACCATCGGCACTCAAAATGCATTCTTATCGGTCCTGTATTCATCGAGGATTTCGTCGGTATTTAATTAGTGACGTCAGTTTAAGGTTGCCAGGGCGTGTGAAAAATCTGGATATTTTACACGAAGTCAAATATAAAAATGTGCTGAATTTCCAACGCATCTGGCAACAATGTGTCAGTTTTTCAATGATTAGAAAAATGAAAATTGCTTTACAGAGCCTCTCTTCTGGTCTATGTGCACGGAAGAGTATTGTAAAACTGATTTGAGCCGAAAATAGCGAAAATGCAGAGTAAAATTTTATCTAAAGACAGTCTCCAACATTTTTGTTGGGCATTTCCTTATTTTTTTGACTCCAAACGAGAATATATAATAATTAGGTATAACCTAATTCGTGTACTGTGCAGAGGCGTCGCTTATTTTCCACACTTTTATTCAATCTTTTTTTTTTAAAGTTAGAAAAAAAGAAGTTTTCTTTTAAGTAGGTATCACAATTTGAATGTATATTCAATTTTAACATTAACTTATTATTAACAGAAAAATCAAACGAGGAGAAACTAATACGACATGATGGATCTCAGAGAGGGGATTTATAATTAAACGGATAAAGTAACTGAAAATAGAACGTAATAGTACAAAACATGTAAATAAACGTTAATACACATACATACACTAATATTATTGTACAGATATGTGTTTAACATTCCACATTTCATTCCTTCATAAAAATCAATGCGGGGGAAATTCAAAAGAAATTTGACGTAAAAGATGAACATATCTAACATTTTAACAATGAAATATTTAAGATAAAAATATGCATGTACCAATTAATTGTTTCCTCATCGGCAAACTAAAACATTCAAGTCTCATTCGCAAAAATTATAGCTATGGGTAATACGAAAAAAACACTCGTTGTAGCACGAAAAGTTTAAATTATAATAAGTAAGGAATGCTTTGCAAAATATTCGTAATTTTTGAATGAAAACTGCCCATTCGCGAGTTTTGGAAAATAATATAAATTAAGACATAAATTGCCACTGAAAGTATAAACTTAAAATAAATTATAGCTCGTATACCTCATTGATGATCCAACTTACGAGCCTTTCTGGAGTATTCCGAATGTTATCTGCTTTATTAAATTTACATTTTTGGCCAGTTTGTAAATTTGAAGCAAAATTTGTTTTCAGTAGATAGGTTTTTTTCCAAAAAAAAAGGGTCAGGAAGAGAGAGATGGAAAAAGAGACACAAAAATATGTATCAATAAGTAATGAAAGAAAATCGCATTCAATCCTAGGTAGGAATTTTGTTTTTTTTTACAATTATTGCACCCGAAGATTTATCAAAAAGTCGAAAGTAAACACTTATTTAAGACGTGTTTTCTTTAATATTTCAATATCATACTATGTACCATTTTTAGGTATTTTAAAAACTAAAAATTTGTTTCGAAATGTTCACACTCCTATAACGCCACTTGTTCGGAGTTACATCAGTTTATCACTTTTAATCTCCGATTTTCAGTGATTTATTTTATTCTTACAGATGTTTTTATCTTAAACTTACGGGGATTTGAAGATTTGAAAGTTTGAAGAGAAGCCTTCAATAGTCAAATAACGAGGGCACAACTACGTAACCCCTATACTTCACTCAAACACTATCATTATCATTATGCTTAATACTTATTAATTCTAATTTCATTTTTTACCAACTCTAATTGTATAAATTAGTTTTTGATTTTTTTAAAATTTTAATAGGAACATTACCGTCAATTGAGAAGTTTCAAAGTTTCTCTCTCAAGTTGTTAGACATCTCACCCATGCAAAGTGGAAGTTTTGCAAATTGTCACATTATTACGAGGGCATTGGCTATGAAATTAATGACATAATGTTGTGATAAAACAAACCTCAATATTTCTCTTAATCGTATATTCAAAAGGGGACCGGTTCTCACTTAGTGTATCATTCATTATTATTCAAATTCCACTTGCAGGATGGGTCATCAAAAAATACCAGTGGCGATTCTAGAGTGTTGAAAAAGTTGTTTATCCTCCATTTAAATGTATAAAAACAATCGATTATCGATATTTTTAGTGGATTTAAATGGGGAAAAACTATTTTTTCAACTTGCAAAATCACCACTAAAAATACTAACTACGCACACTCCATTCATGTAAGAATACTAGATTATTTTGAAAAGTAAATTAAATTTCACGGACATTTCGGCCATGTATGATAATGATTACGACTCTTCGTGGGGTGGAAAGTCTTGGAAGTAAGAGACAAGCATTATGAAAAAAATCGCGGAAAAATTGACCTATAGCTATTAAAAAAACTTATGTAAAGTGGTAACATGTTATGTGGATTTCTGGGAAGGTATGGAAAAGATTCTCAAGCATATGAATATGGGACCAAAGGAAAATTAATCAAAGACAGAGGCAAGAACATAGAAAAGCGACTGAAAAAACCTGATCGGATGTTCTGGGAGCGATATGCTGAAACATAATGTAGAGAGAAAGGAAGAAAAAGAATAAATAAATCAGGAATGTAGAAACACGTACCGATTGTAAAAATACTATGTACAACTGGAGGTAATTTTCATGGCTTACATGTAATAAAGAATATTTGTTTGTAAAATGGCAATATTTCAGGAACTGTAATTCAATTAATTGAAGGGATAAAATGTGAACACTTTAGGAAAAATGTATCAATTATCATACATTTAATTTGAAGGGGCGGATTTTTATTTCAATGGTAAGATGATGACTAACTATTGTGTACAAATCTTCTTTAAGGAAGAGACCCTTGCTGACTGATCGATAAGAAGAATTTCTATCAACTTTAGTGAAAAAAATCAAGTGAAAAAACTGTTTAGTATTCATTCATTTCTTGAAATATGAGATTAACGTATTTTTGGGCATTTGCAGGGACAGTTCATTGAAATATGTCATTAAAGGGTTGTGCAATTTCCTGATGCCTATGGACACTTTACATGGAATCGTTATATTTTGATAGGGTTAAGCAAAGCGGTCACACATTGCGGTGTTTCAAAATCTCATCTCCAATTTCAATATTTTGGAAGGTAACCAACCGACACTTTTACTCGAAAATTATTGCAATTTTTTCTGAAACGGATTTTGCCATGAAATTTCAAGCGACAATGTAGCTTGGTTTCCTCCAAAAATGCGAAACAACAAAAAAGAGCGGAAATTTTTGAACGCCACAAAGGACATGCGTATTCTCATAATTTTGCCCTTGATATCTTGAAATTATAGGAATGTCATGTAATTTCAGTTTCCTTGTTTGGATCAGTGATTATAGTTGTATTTAACTACTGTCCCTTCATTACATAGCACCATAATAGGGACAACATTATAGCCATCTAATCAGTGGCAATAAGACGTGAACTCGTTCTCTTAGTTTAGATGAGTACATTCTCTTACAATTAGAACAGATCTACGGAGGTTGTGTACAGAACTAAGTATTATAAATGATTCAATTCTGACTTTGCAAATTATATTCTAGCGGCAAAGTGAAAAACACATGGTTTCACAAACGAGGAACACCCGACGAATCTGGATTGCACAATGTCCACGTGCCCTTAACATTTCGTTGCCCTCTAACGTAAGGGCGTATCTCAATTTTCAAGTGAGCCCTGTTTTACGTGTAAATTCAGGCTCTCTGAGGTTCATGCTATAATCGAGATACACGCCTTTACATCAGAGGAACGACGATTTCAGCCGAATCCAGCAGAAAGGAATCACTCTTTTTGCCTCATTTCAGAAACCAGGTGTTTTTCATTGATTTACCATTTTTACCATTACAGATGGGTGATTTTGAAAACGCATGCTTCTAATTGGTAATTTTCTGTTATACTCAGTCATTTTAGCTTATTTATACTTCATTACTATGACCAGCCTCGAAAACTGTATATAGTAGTGTCTTAGAGCCTATAAAAAATAAAATAAGAGTAGGAAAACGATACGGTTTCGAGCAAAAGACAGGTACAAAAAATAAAAACAAAAATTCACTCAAACGCATTTTAAAGCTTTTTTGCCGACAGTCAGATGAGCGAATAATGTTGAACAATCTTCTTGATTGCATCAATCCCATGAAGGAAAAAAGAGACTTAGAAGAAAAGGAAAATCATAGAGGAAGAGAAATGGCAAGAATGGACAGGAGAAAAATGAGGCTCATAAGCGCATAATGGAATGTACAGAGACCGCCAATCAGTGCTCAGTTTTTTCTACATTTTGCAGAGACAGTTGGATCACGAGTTAAATATTATTTGAGTTTTGCCGCGTGTTAAAATAAAAAAAATGAAAGAAAGAAAATGTGTATCGATGGCAAAATGCGAATAATGCGCATTCATTCAAAACGATTGAAAATTTCCGATTATGTTTAATTTTTTCCAAGGGTTACTAATCAAAGTGCCTCTTTGCGAGTGTGTGTGGATTTTTTTTTTAATGAAAGAGGAGAATTCACAAAAAATTTCACAAAAAGTGTTGGCTTTCTAAATTTGAAAGAATAAAACATGATCAAAGATTTACAACTTCGCAATTTAAGGTACGCATATTCTTTGAGCCATCAATGTCCTGGTTGAGAAATGTTCTGTTTCTCAATCACTCACGATCAAATCTTGGCAAATATTGATTATAGCGAACGATATACATGTCTCATTCATTTTTATGGCGCTCGCAGGAATCCGGGAGTGAAAAAGAGTAATGGAGAAGAAAAAAATCCGATGCGTAAAGAAAGAGTAACTGTACCATGTGTGCTGAAAAAAAAAAGTCGAAAAGAATCTGTATCACATTGAGTAAGATATGCTACACGGTAGAATGGAGAAAAAAAATAAAGTAGAAAAAAAATATATGCAATATCTATTGGCAGTTGATTATTCTCTGTAAAACGAGTGAGAAACATAAAAATAAGAAAAACGGAACAAATAAAAATAAAATGCAAGAAACAACTATAAAATAATCCTATGCGGCTTAAGTATTGGCCGGCAAGAAAAATAATTAGAATTATAAATAAATAAATCATAGGAAGCACTGTTGCATTTAGGACGTGGTACAACTGTACCGTCATTAACTATTTGTCCGTAAGAGAGCCTTTAAAGAGTGATCATACTTAAGAGCTTCGTCTTTTGACACATTATTTTAAACCCATTTTGTTTTCAAATATTTTTTGTCGAAATTGTAGTTTTAGTGAAGGAACTTGTAAAGCAGTAAGTAGAGCAGCATGAAAGTAAGGATTAAAGGAACACTATTGGAGCACTGATTATTTTGCCTTCAGTGTGAGTAGTAACTTTTTTTCTTAGGAAAACGCGTGGTGAACTCCTTCACCCGAGTTGAATTTAGATTGGACAGGCAACTAAACTAACTCCGTGACAAGGCGTAGGGTATCACAAAAATTGAAGGCGCTCCAAATCGAGATAGTTTTTTTGAAGACCATCTCTCATCAAACTTTCACTACGCCGATACGCATTATTGCAATTCATCGAACGTGCACCTCATGCAGATCGCCGGCGATTGCTTATTGCCTGCAACATTTGCACCCGTATCACCAACTCTAGGTAATTTTGAGATAATTTAGAAAAAATAGCGGTATTCACGATTTTTAGCTTATTGCGTATAGCGATAGCGTAAATGCTTTGATTTACTATTCTCCATTAGATTGGATTTGATGAAAACGAACGTATATATACGTAACACATTACTCCCGCGTTAAGTGTTTCACACGAAATGCCTGTTCGAATTTTTCCATTTCTATGCAAAACGGTTTCCTAGAGCTTGTTTGAATATTCTGATGCTATTTATCTTGAAAACAGTCGAAAATAGACCTCCCTTGTTTATTATCATAGCAGCCCTTTGTATTCGCTGGCGTAAGATTACTCGCTAAAGGCTCTGTTACTTCAGAGGAACTTAAAACTGTGATTGCACATAAATTAACTAAAATACTAATAGTTAACTGTGGTTTGATCATTGATATAAATAATAAAAGTCTGCATGAAAAAATAAGAAAACAATAAAACTAAAAAAAAGAAAAAAACCATACCCAAAGAATAAAAAGAATAAAAGTCCTGAAAATTTGGGGAGAATTTGGTGGAAAATAGCCGAGACGTTCAAAAAGCCGCGAATCAATAGTTAAAATAAGTTTCGAACTTAAAATAAAATTCAAGAGAGTCAATTTTTTTCTCAAAAGTAAAAAGTCAATAAAATGGTGCGAATTTTGATAAGAAAATTTGAGAATTTTGCTCCGAAATTTTGGTGAAAAACTGAGGAAACATAATAGAAAATACAGACAAGATCGTTACAAACTGTGAGTTCCTGATCAATCTGCGGTATACAAGAAGAATAACAACGATGCATATTAAATACTCCTAAATCTAATGTCAACAAAGAAAAACTCGGACACGAGTCCAATATAAAACCCCCACTCATATTCCACTCGAGGTGAAGTTGTCTATTACATCGATAATTGATTCTCTAACTATTGTATATCGAATAATGTTTAAACATAACTATTTGAAAATAATTTAAATACTTATATTTATAAATATTCATCATAACACATTCATAGAGTTAAGAACGACGTCTTTGTGATTCCTAGCTGTAGTTTTCAATGGTAAATAGAATTAACTTTACACTCATATTTATACCCGGTTCAGCGAACCGGCGATTAGATTTTTATACCTAAAAAAGAAGCTCACAGTTAATCGTGGACCATTCCAATAGTATTACACCCAATTGAATAACTAATATTAACATTTGAACATTGCCCTGACTTGATAATCAGGCCACAAGCTGATGCCTCGGAAGATTGTCTCTTCCCCACCAGCGGTGACTCTTAAAAGTTCTTGTAAAAAATTAACTAAAAAGGTGAATTTTACGTAAGAATAATCTTGAATCAGGAAACGCTACCCTTACGCTTAGTTGAGAAAACAAATTGGATTTTACCGATGACGAGGCGTGAATGATCTATTATCGATATTTTTCCATTTGAGGCAATGGTAAAAAATCGATTATTAGCGTTCGGTGCGAACAACCTGTTTATCGATCCTTTTCCATAGGTTTAAACGGCAGATACATCGATACATCGCAAAACACGCCATGGTCGCCACGTCACTGGATTTAACGTCTTATTTTTGTGACGTGACTTGAAATTTAAAAATTATTCAACTTGGAGTTAAATTTTACTCGTTCCTCATACAAATCTTGTAATAAATTGAAAAGTACTAAGTCTTTATAAGAAACATCAAGAGGAAATCCCGTAAAACTCAATTATTTTTTTATTTAAAAATACGAGTGAAAGAGGGGCGTCATTTGAGGAGAGCAAGAGGGAGGTACAATTTAACCCCCTCCCTTCCCGGTCCATTCATTCAAGGTTGCTTTACACGGGCTAAAGTGGCAAAAATTTGTTCATTTAAAAAAAAATTGAGTAGATTTTTATGGTATTCTACACACTACCCTGGAGTAAATTGGACTGCATTTTGCAATTTGGAACTATAAATTCTGGCCCTTTTGGGAAAACACTTATGTGCATAGGAAAACTAATGGCATATACGTTGTTTTCAAAACCGGGCTAGAATTTATAGTTCTAAATTTCAAAACGCAGTCCAATTATTCCTCTTCTAAACAATTTTCACCCCCATTTGCCAAAACGTGGTTGAAATGACACCCCTGCTAGGGAAAGGGGTTCCTAATTCACAAATTTCCACAATAAATCACGTAAAATTCACCATGTCTCGAAACGTACGCTTTCATATTCGGATTCTCACAATTTTTCAACAGCCACTGCTACCGGGGATACCTTATTTTTTGACTTGACTCATCAAATTCTTGTACGACGCCAGCGTGAAATCGACGAAGAAGCCTTGTCAATCCTTCCCGTTCTGCTCGATGAGTCGCTGGGGGGTCATCTCGTGGTTGGAGCGCGGGCTGGCGTCCATCTCCTCCTCGCCGTCCATGGAGTTGTGATAGTCGTCCTTGATCGGGCTACTCCGCACGGAGTCCTCTTTGGTGTAGTCGATGGGGGTCGACCGGAGTCTTTGGTTTTCCTCTTTCGCGAAGTCGATGGCCAGCTGGCGCGGCGGCGACGAATCGCGGTTCTTCTCGGATTGCGGTAACAGGTGGACCATCCCCACCGGGACGGGGAAGGAGGAAGAGAAGTCGGGGTAGAAGTTGGCCGTCGGGTAGGACGACGCGTTGAACCCGGGCGGCCCGAGCATGAGGTCCGGCTCGGGCCCCTTGTGCGACTTGACGCTCTGGTTGTTGTTGTTGGCCGCCAGGGAGCCCAGCCCCAGGAGGTCCAGCGGCCCGTTGATGTCCCCGAAGCACTCTTTCTTCAATTGTTCTAGTTTCAGCGACTTCCCGTATTTCCCGCGGACGTACATGAGGAGGCTGTTGTACGGGATCCCGAATATCCGGGAGGCCTGTGACGTCGTCATCTTCTTGTTCCAGACGTGGGAGAGGGCTTCCGTCAGCTCGGCGTTAGTCCACGATCGAGGCGGGCCTCCCCGGGGAGCGCTGTGCTGTCCTTTCGGTCGGCCCACTTGAAAACAAGAAAAATAGATCAAATTAGGACGCGCTTTAAGACTTAGTCAAGGTCCAGAGGGCTAGTTGTTGAAATTGATTGACAAAGCTATAAACAAAGAAGACAAGAGGGATATGAAGGGATCCTATTGGTCAAGGTGGATGGTTGCAATGGACAAAGAAGGCAGATTCATTTTCTCCCTTAGTCTATAGGAACCAACCATTTCAACCAATAGGATCGCTCCATACTCTCTATGTCTTCTTAGTCTATCGCTTTGTCTATAGCTTTGTCTATCAATTTCAACAATCAGCCTGCAGTTAGAGTTAACTTGTAACAGACTCCCGTATTGGCTGTTCGGAACTAAGGAGGGTGGGCGGTGGGGGCCTGCCCCTCTCCAGAATAATCTAGCCAGATAAATGCGTAGCATATGTTTCATATGCAAGGGATAGTCCTTAGAGACAAGTTTCCTGACACGATGCGATGCTCGCAAAAGTATAATTTTTCAGACGTGCACCCATTAGGGCGCTTGAAATACCTCTAATCATGCGGTTTCTTTTTTTTGTTTGGTTTCTTCTTTTCTCAAAACGATTGTTGATTTGGGCACATCATACTATATTTTGAACAAACTTAGCCTTAAATTTTTTCAAATGTAAAAGTGAGCGACATCTCAACGCCCATTGATTGATAATGGCGAAGAGATACAACTATTCGTGATTGATAGATGTCTGTGTTGCATCTGTAAAATTTAAGGCGCGATGCCGTGAGGGCGTGAACTCACACCGCTCGCTCAATGCTGCAGTGAGATGTCACTCAGATTAAAAGGGAGGTTTCTCCTGTCTTCGGCTGCGTTAACTTATGATTTTTTTTCAATTTGATGGCTGATCCTTTTCTTACATTGTTTGTGGACCCAAATCTAAAGCTCGTATATACTAGTCCCACACAACTCGCGAGCCACGTGTTTTTAGCAAGCCTCGGGTCTATTAGACCCAGATTTGACATCCAAGGGTTAAAAGAAGACGAACGTAGATGAACTTACTTTTTTTCTTCGAAGAAATATGATGATTTTCGTGCCTAGACTCATTAATGTCGTTCATCAGTGCGTTTCGACAGCTCTCCATGCCTGGAAATAAACCTGAAAAAATAAATACATGAAGGATAAATAAAAGTATAATCAAACTGAACACTTCAGGAAAAAAAGCCGTGCAACCAAAAATTAAAAATTATTTATTTTTGTTTCATTACTTTTGTCCTTTGAGGACAATCTAGCATAAAATTGGACGATGTATTCTCCTTGAACTGTTTTGTTTATTTAATTATTTTACTCGAAATAGTCAAGAAAAAGTCTAGCTTTGCTTCGAATGATTGTGACCAACTCTTTGATTCTCCCTTGAGTTTAAAATGTACTTTTTTTTATCCGAAATGAGGGGGAAATTTATCAACCAAGAACTGTATAGAATATTTTACCCTTACAAAAGAACGTTTACTTTTCTCATACTAAGGAAGCAGTAAATAATGACCCGCTAAAACAGCTACTTTTGGGATGCCGAATCGGACTTCAATTTATTTAAGAAATATGTTGATATCTGTTAGCACCTTATGAGCGCGTGCTTAACGCATCAATTCAGCTTCCAATTCTCATTTCTGTCATGCGAAAAATCGATCAAAAGTTGACTGCTTCAAGTTGTGTGCAACAGGAGCGCACTGCCCTGTTTCATTCAAAGGTACTAGGTAAAATATTTCGTTAACGAATAAATAATATACTAACAATCTAGTCTCACTGTCTAAATTTTAACTGTAGCTCAAGATCTTACCTAAATGCGAATCCAAGGAAAACACTGAAAAAATAAATTTAAAACTAAATTAATACAGTTTTGCGGCGAGCCCAAACACTTCATAAATTTGAAATTTTATCAGTTTTGAATAAATTCAAGGAGAATACACGTTCTGATTCAGGGATTATTGAATTGATTAATTCCAAACGCATTTAATGCGTTTGACCATCAGGTCATCTGAGAAGATTTGTGTCTTTTATTTGAAAATGTTTGAGGCACAGAGCGCCTTTTTGAGTCCTGATTGTTTGAATTGAGCAGAAATGTTTGTGCATTTTTAAAACGCCTCATCAGGAAAAGCATATATTCAATTTCCGTCGGATTTTTCAATCTTTTAAAACTCAATTTATGGCGCGCGTCCTAAAGTATGGAAAGACGCAATTGTAAATAAGTTCTTATACTTACTATGAGGAGGAGTCAGAGATAGTGCGGAAATAGACGCCAAATGTGGGAAAGAAGGATTATCTAAGGGAGACGATTCCTGCAAAAATAAAAAGAAAATTATTGATTTCATTGTATGTTTGTTTATAAAGACTCTTCATTTGAGGTGTCAAATCTTTGTATGAGGAAAATTTTGGCCATAGTGCAAGAGTATTGGTAATTACACCACTTAAATATTCGTGTATTCTTTGTGTACCTTTATGTATCTTTGTGTATCTTTGTGTAAAGGAAGAGAGGAAAAAATTAAGAAGCACGCAATCTTTAGTTTTAAACCATTTGTAAATCGGTCTTTTAGAGTCAAATACGTCCAAGTTTGAGCGTTTGGTTGCACGTATACCACGCTGCAGCCCAGTAAAAGCAGAGAATATGAAAGAAAAAATCAAAGTGCTTTAAAAATCATTAAATTTGTCACGGATAACCACCTTAATATTTACAAAACACACGTAGTATTTTCCTTTTATACTTATTTTTTCCATCAATTTAAATGAGAAGAATCCATGCAGAGTTTGCAAACATTTCAAAATCATGAGTTGAAAATCGCTGATTTCGCGAGTTTAAATATTAGAGCCTAACACAGAGCGGAACGGCGTCCTGCCAGCGCGAAACGCGCATTAGCGCCTACAAACCTAAGGGAATACTTCACGCATTGCGCAATGCTTCAAGTATCACCTTAGGTTTGTAGGCGCTGATTCGCGCTAGCTGGCCGCCCGCCGCAGCGTGTTACGGCGCGGCGCCTAATTAAACTACTGTTTCACAACAGAGGAGTTGCACAGTATCATACGAAATTGAAGGCTCTCTAACATATTCAGAATGGCGGGCATCCTTTAAGAATACGGAGCTTCCCTTGCAAAATAGATTACGGCACAAAAAGAGAGCGGTAGTCCAAAAACGTACTAAATCCTAGCATCTGCATTTAATAACGTTTAGCATATAATTTGCCAAAAAAACGCGTGGACGTAAACTACTAGAAAAAACAGGTGCGCGGACAATAAATCGTTGACGAAATGTCCTGTAATCGAACAAACAGGACAAAGAGAAGAAACAGAACTAACAGAACAAAAATAACCAACAGAACATACAAGACAAACAAAACAAACAGAACGAACAGAACGAACAGAACAAACAGAACAAACAGAACATACAGAACAAACAGAATAAAAAGAACAAACTGCACGAGACTTACGTGATGTGCTAAGTGTGAAAGACTATCTATATTATTTGGAGGCGGATGAGGATAATCATATCGGCTGATTTCTTTTTCTCTTTCCTTGTCTCTGTCCCGCTCTTTGTCCCGATCCCTGTCTCTTTCTTTCTCTCTTTCTCGTTCTCTTTCTCTCATGTGTTCGGACGGAGTGGTCGTCAGTTCGACAGGCTGAGTTTGTGGACTCATCTCACTACAGTCTTCAGTCTCCATTTTTAACGGCTGTAACAGTTGACATCAAAGCACATTAAGACCGCATTCGAAGAAAATCAGCAAATCGATGACTGTAAATGTGGAAACGAATGGTAAAAAAACCCATTCAGAGACAAAACACAGCGATCGCGAAGGTCGCAAAATACGCATTTCATCTGCGACTTTTCAAAATCCCCACTGTACTGTTAAAAATTTTGTGTCGGGGTGAAATTTGGTGCCGGAGTCTATATAGCGCCAAAAAACCCCGAAATATGAATCCAAGTGAAATTAGCACCAAAAGAACGTATGCGTATGACACCCTTGGTTTTGTCCAAGTCCTAAGTCGAGCAACTAGTGAATATGTGTGTATTACTAGTTGACGAATCAAAGCTGGAAGAAACCGAGGGTGTCACTACCGCCGTACCGCCGTGGATGACGTCAAAACCTCGACTTTTCGAAGGACGATCTCTGTTAATATTGAATGTAGGAGGTTGCTATTTGGACAGATCTTATTATCTGTAGCTCTTCTACAAGAACCAAGCATCAAAACACGATTCTATGACCAGCGTAACGACCCATTATTACATGATAAAATTATTGCTACTATACACCGGGGTGTAAGTAGCGTATGCTGCCTATCTACTGATTGAAGGAGAACTTATTTTCACTGCAATAAAATTGAAATAAGTTGCAATTTTTCATTGAATTGCATATTGCCTATCTTTATGACACATACGGCTGTTTTACATTAGAAGAGGTTGCTTTTCACGTAGATTATGACAGTTTTCAAGAATTATTATATCCAAAATCATGAGTACTTTTTTAATTTTTTTCTTCTTTTTTAACATTTGTTGTTATCAGGGATGAGTGAATGGAACGAGTCGAGAAACGGGAAAATACTCACTAAAAACTGGGAAGGGGTAGGCGTGCTATTTGGTCGAGCGGGAGGTATTGCTGTGTTTTGGCCTAAAACTGAGGAGCCTCTTTTGATGCAGAGGTTCTCGGCTCCCTCACAAGATTCCTTGATCGGAGAGGAGCCTTTGCGTAAATCTTGGGGGCCCAACGATTCTCCTGACCTCCTTCTTGGTCGAGCCTGTTAACAGTCGAGCATACATTCATCATAAATTTGCGGTTTTCTAAACATAATATATTATTTTGTCCAATCAAATCGAGACCGTCCAGGAAAAAGGAACCGATTGTTGAAATTAATAGACATGACTATAGTCAAAGGAGACAAAAGGAGTATACAGGGATCCTATTGGTGGAAGCTGGTAGTTGGAATTTTGAAAAAATCTAAAACATGTCGTCTCCTGAACGAAAACGTAACTCTATTCCAAGGTTGCAACATTTACTAAAATGATTCAACTTTTAACACAAATGTACCTGTGGAGTCACTGTTCATAATTTTTCTGATTTTTGCATGAGATCAGAGGAAAAAAAGTGAAATTATCAGTTACACATAATTCTCAAGATTCTCCTCGTAAACATTGGAAAAAAAATCATAAAAAACACTGGAAACGCAGCTGAACTCTTAGACGCAGCAATAATATTGTTTTGTGCAAATTCTCCATATTCCTTCGCTTCGAAAATTTTCGATTTGCGAATTATTTTTTTGTTTTTTGAGTTGGGATGGGGACTGACCTGCTTCCTCCTGGGTGTGGGCGATGAGCACTGCCTGTGGTGGTCACCGATGGAGTCGGCGAAATTGATATGTGAGGCGAGTCGGGGGTCGAACTGCCCCGGTTGCGGGGTGTGCGGTTGCGAGGGGAACATGCTCACGCTCGGGGCAGGCGAGTAGCTCGGGGTCGAACCTCGACCGTTGTTCTCTTTGCTATCCATCGGGATCGGCTCTGTGTGTGCCAGACCTCGCACCTGCCGAAACAACAATAATTAGTAAATCATTCAATCAATCAAAATTCAATCAATTTAACATTAGGTTAAAATGATAGATAATAATTTGTAACACAGCAATCCGGCCTAGAGTACCTATATGGAGAGAGTACGGACAAATGTCAGTAATTTGCAGGTTAGGTCATGGACTCATCCAACTCGTCAAACTCTCATCTGGCTCAAACAATTTGGGCGGAACGGCCAGACTCTTCTTTGGTATTCAGTGCGGTAAGTGAAACGGCGTTTGGATACAACTATTCTTGTTCGGAGGATGGCCGCGTTGCATATGCAAATAATTGAAGGCGCGCCATTGCATTTGTAGCCAAAGGCACGGCGTGGCGTTTGGACGCAACTAATTATGTTCGGAGGATTGTCATGTTGATTAATTGAAGGCCCAATAACTTATTTTATATGCCAAATGTCAGTAAGAGAAATTCACAATTAACTAAAAAGTAGAATGTGAAAGCGAATTTTTACCCAGATTTAAATCTTCAAGTGAGACAAAATGGCGTTACTTGTATTTTTCTGAGTGTCTACTAAAAATGAGAACTGATCCTAAAATTTTGAGGAGTATTTGACGAAATGGAGTATTTTACTGACCTGTAGCGATTCCGCGGCTCTTATCAGTGACGCTAGCTGTTCTTGACCGACACTGATTTCGCCGCGATACATGAAATCTACGATGGCTTGAACCTCCCATCCTTTCAGATCCTTCAGGACAATCACAGGGTGTTTACACGGTGTCTCACAAAATATCCTTTGAAAATATGGGCTGGAAACCAAAAAAAAGATCCATGTTAGTCATAATTTGAATGATTCCTCCAACAGCCGTGCAGAATGCGTAAGTGTAACCAAAATTCCTGCAGAATGATACGTGTCAGGTCAATATCTCTTGCTTTTGGAACAGATCTCAATACTAACCTCAGTGCGTGCTCAAGCCTCCGTGTTCTTGCGCCCAAGTCAATTTTTTAGATCTGTTCTAAAAGTAGATCGACGATGAAACTTCCAAACCTCGTATTTCGATTGTGATGTTTAAATATCTCCGCTTTCATTTTATGTTTCTAACAGAAAGCAAATACACATAATTCTAGAACTGTTGACTATCTGCTTAGGCATTTGGACCACAGTTTGCGAGGAGAAATTATTATTTGTGGCTCATCCATAAAAGGACCTATCCGTATAAGGAAATTAATGGCACATATGTTCCTCCTATCGTAAGTTAGAGATAGCAATTACTTATTGCAAAATGTAGTCAATTTTGCGTAAAGCCTGATCTCGTTACCCCTGAGACGTACGAGCGTACCTCAATTTTCACGTTAGCCCCGTTTTACACGGAGAAAAAAATCTCGTGCGTGGGACCCGAAGTTTAGGTCATATGGATCTCTGAAGTTTTCAGATTGCGCATCTGAACACTTTATAGGTCTAGCTGTCGAGGTTTGGATCACACATCTGAAACTTCAGTTCTTACATCTGAAGTACTTCAGATGTGAGAACCGAAGTTTTTTGGATGTGAGAATCGAAGTTTTTCGGATGTGAAAACCGAAGTACTTCAGATGTAAGAACTGAAGTTTCAGATGTGTGATCCAAACCTCAGCAGCTGGACCTTAAGTGTTCGGATGCTCAATCCGAAAACTACAGAGATCCATATGACCTAAAGTTCGGGTCCCACGCACGAAGTTTTTTTCTCCGTGTACATATAATTTTACATATAAATCCATGCTTCCTGAGACTCATGCGGAAATTAAGATACACCCAGACGAGCGACGATTCGACTATTAGGCCGTGATATTAACATCTTAAGAGCTCCATGACAGCCGAAAACTCGCAGACCAATCAGAGAGCACCTTGAATCTTGTATTAAAAGGATTGAAATGGCGATACTCCCCCTACATCGGTGCACCAGGGCGCGGAACGAAAGACACGAAGGAAAGAAGTAACCGACGGGAGAAAGAAGGGATTGTCACGAAGGACACAAAAGCGGCGAAAAAAACACGGAGTAAATTCGATTCTAATGAATCGGCCCGGATCCGAAGTTGGAACAAAATCGGAGGGGACCGAATTTCCCAATCTATTCTCGTTAAGCTCGCGCCTGCTGCAAAAAAAAAAACGAGGAAAAAGGCGAGACCCGAAAGTTCGTCTTAATGAATTAACGCCGAGCCGGGAGTTTAATTAGGAAAACCCGCGTCGGTGCGCTGCGGTGGCAGTGGGTGCATGCATTGACTGCTTAATTTATAGCGTGAATTTTTTCCTCCCCTACCCCCCACCCCTCACATCGGGCGTCGGCGGATGGGGGATGGGGGATGGGGGATAAGGGAGGGGGGGGCTTCTAGAAACGGGACATGTCAATAAAAAGTCGAGCGGGAGGGCCGAGGGTGGGGGTTCGAAGACGCGTGTCTTTGTTGGAAAAATTAGGGTCGAAGGCGAGGCGGCCGGGGGTGGCGCTGCGCCGGCGGGGGGAAAGTAATTATCAAAGGGGAAGTTAAGTTAAAGCTCGAAATATTTATTTTTTTAATTCGCGTTTCCACGCTCGGCGCACGATCCGTGGGTCGGCGCGGCGCGTTTTTTTCGGCGACGTTGCCCCCAAGACGCCGCGACGTCTCGCTTCTGGAAGCTCTTCGCGCTTTGTGTCGATGTGCCGCACAGTGGATCGAGTCAATTAGAGACGTCGCACTGGAAAAAAAAAACACATTGGATCTAGGGTCCGGACTCTTAAAAACATCGACAAGAAAAAATACTCTTGATTCAATCGGATTTTTGCTTAAATCAAGAACCAAGCCTCTTAACTTGAGCGGATTTCCTTTTGATTTAAGCTTAAATCTGACTGAATCAAGAGTATATTTTCTTGTCAATGATTTCAAGAGTTTGGACTCTAGATCCAATGTGGTTTTTTTCCAGTGGCGGAAATAAAAGTTTTGACTAAAACTGCAAATTTTGATGTTTATTTCGTCGCATTTTAAATTTCAAGAGGTGCTTGTAGAAGAACATTTCACGAGGAAACCACTGAAATCACATTCAGAACTTCGAAGTTTTGTACAAACGGAGTTAAAAGCTTTGAGAGTTTCCATATGCTGTCCGACCTTTCCTATTGACTCGATCCACTGTGCGGCGAGTTTTGCTTTAAATCTGCCTGTCTGGGACGCCACGTAAAGTATGCAAATCAATGGGTAAAGTAAAAAAAAAGCGGACTCTTGGGTGCAATGTATCACAATCTTCAAGAGGATCGATTTTTTTTTAATGAAACCTTTTTAAGAACAACATTTCCTTGAAAAGAATATTTTTGAATGAGTTGAAACATCGCGCGGAAATTCCGAGGAATATTGAATTTCTTAGCTTGAAGACGACTCATCCCGGAAAAATGAAAGTTTTAAGGAGACGATAAAATCTGCGTCAGCCAGAAAAGGTGTGTTTCTACGCAAAAACTTGAATATCGTCAAAACCCTGAGTTAGGTCGTTTTCCAACTGAGAGATTCAATTGCTCATCAGTTTTTTTTTTCGTTCCAAATAAATTAAAACATGAGCAGAGATATGTGACGCAACAATCGGAGATACGCCAATTTTAGCCATCGTTCAATGCTATCGGCCGCGGGAAAATAGACCTCCATTGCACAAAATCTCTTAGTTAAACTTTTGGTCTTAAAGCATAGAGAACACGGACAAAATCTGAATTAACGTCCAAGGATGCAAAAATCTGTGCGACAGCTTTGATATGTTGATTCAACGCAGCGGCTGTGTAATTCAAAATTCAACGTCACTAGAATGCTACTTTTCCAGCCCTCGTTCATATCAATATTTTGAAGTTGTCGCACAGATTTCATTCCGCAACATTCCGGAATGTTAATTCAGCAACTTATTTGCCGTGAAGTGCTTCACGGCAGTTTTGGGATAGAAAACGCCCAAACATATGAAACCAAACTGGAGACCTTGATTTTTTGCATAGAAATGTAAAACTATATGAACTTTGCAGGATTGCCATGACCATATTTCTCTTCAGTATCAATGGTCAAATGAGTCAATTTTATGTGGGATGAAATGAAAATTTTTATTTTTACGGCCAGTCTAATTCGATAAATTTTCGGGGGAAACCTCCTCGTCATCACGGAGAAAAATTAATGACGCGAGGTACAGAATCTGCAGGCTAGGTTAGTCTACGGTCGAAAAAAAAGCAACAAATTGGACTGCTTGGATCCGAAAAAACCGAACAAAGCTCCTGTGGTTAAATAAAACTAAAATGCTCTAACGAGTATTTTTATCAATAGAAGATAAAAAACAAATTATACAAGCAAACCCTAACACCTAATTTTACAAAAAAACTTGATCCCTTTTTAGTGTGACTTTTATTTTGTCCAAATTTGGCGAGAAACGGGATAATATATGATTATTGTCATTCCTATTTTTAAATATTTTGTCATTCCCCCCCCCCCAAAAAAGGAACCATAGGTGAAACTAGACACTCCGAAGGGGGGCGCCAGGGGAGTCCGAAAGACCTCCCCTGGGAAATTTCCGAAATTTTAAAGCATCTATTATGCAGTTTGAGTCATTTTCGAAATGGATGATTGCCAAACATGATTGTCTTTCCTTCTTCTTTCCACAGTTCCTTCTTTTTTTCTTTCTTCCCTTTCTTTTCCTTCTTTTTTTGGAATGATGCAAGGGGCGCACGCCCCCAACGCCCCTTCCTTAGATTCGCCTATGTAGGGAACGTACCACTTTTATTAAGTATCAAAATTAACACGATCAATTTAACTTTTAACAAGAATGAAACTCAGCATTAACTCCCTAAAATTTCGCTGATTTCTTTGTTCAATCGGAAGATAAGTCAGTGACATTGTCAATTTGGAATTCCCAACTGTTTTCTATCAATACAAGTCACCAGCTGTTGAGCAACGTCAAAGTTGCGTGACGCTCTTTCGAAGGAAACGAGGATTTTTGAGGAGTAATCGCATCGAAAATTGAGCAGACATAAAGCCACCCGGATGATCCCACCTGAGAGAGAGGATTTGTCGGTGGCTGTGTACCACCACCTCACGTGAGTTTGCTCAAGGGTTAACTCTGAGATAGAGTATTTTATTCAACAAGCAACAAGTTGTTCTCTGTTGTATCTTGTATCGCGTCACGCGCACTGCTCCCGGCTTAGCATGCCGTCACATCTTCGCTGAAAGAGTGTCATCTCCACTCTTTTGTGCTACGCAATAACCCCGTAATTCGAGTGAAAATCCTATCTTGATTTGCGGTTCTTGCTAAACGTTCATTCTAACGAGGCGTTAAAGGGCTGATACGGATATGTCAAAGGCTGCTACTCTGCTAAGGAAAAGCACAACGACTATGATGACTCGGCTTTCAGAGAATGAGATTAATTACAGCTCATGACCACCGAATTAGAGGTTAGTGGTGTTTCATATCGATGGCTAAAACGCGAGACCATGCATCTACATCGCGACGTTTCAAAATTTCTGCTCTTACTTCATTTTTTCGGAGAGAAATGAGTCAATTATATAGCCTGAAATTCCTGCGAAATATTCTGCTGAGAGAAAAGAAAAACTAAGAAAGTTTTCTAGAAATTATAAGTTGACTGGTTTTCCGGAGAAAAAATTAAGTATAATAGGAAGTCTGCGACACCGCAAACGGAGGTACGTATGGTTTCGCATTTTAACCATCGATATGCACACTTCATTAATGGTAACTGTGACAAATAATGCAGTTTTATTTTAACATCAAGTGAATCAATGCTACCGTGGTGAAATTATCATTTAACTGCATCAAAAACTTGGATACTGCACGCCAGTTTTGTAATTTAAATATTTTAACTTTAGTGTGAGTGGTGAAGTATCGCGCGAAACTGAAGGCGTTTTAAACCGTTGACAACATAGTGTGACGTTACTCACAATAACGCGTTCACCTCGTATACAAATCGTAAACCCATGTCATATCCGTCATTTCTTCATAGATGAATCAGGATACGAGATGATACGATGCATGCAAAAGAATATCATTCGCAAATTGGTATAAATAAAAATCATACGTAAGAAAACCTCCTGCCGAGGCAGTAAATTTAAGGAAGCGCAATACGGCTTACCTAATACCTATACGCAAATTTTGCGTTGAGGAGTAGATTTTGACATTCCTGCGGGCTGAGAATTGAAATTGATAGACAAAGTTGTAGAAAAATCTGTCTTGCGGAAATTGTGGCGATCCTATCGGTGGAAGAAGATGGTTGCAATGGACAAAGTAATTGACTAACTAACGGTATCTTACGAGAGGCCCTTCATCATTTTCTCTCTCAGTCTATAACAACCACCCGTTTCAACCGATGGGATTGTCCCGTTTTCCATTTATCTTCTTTGTCTATTGGTTTGTCTATACATTTTAATGATCAGCCCGCTGAGGTGCTCAACGTCGTTTCTGTGCGATTCTACACAGAGATACTGTGCTCAGTTGGTTGTATGTATATGTCAATGCACCCTGAAGTTGATACGGAACTTACCTACAAGCTGATAATACGACTTTGTGAGCTTTGAAGCTGGTTTCTTCACAAACTAAGGTAACATCGACTAGTGCCTCACTCTGGAGGAGTGTATCGAAAGCGTGGAGTATGTGACTTTGGTGGTTATTCCAGCGCAGGCTGTAATGTGGTGAACCCATTTCACCTGACACCTGTTCAACAGAATATAAAAGACAAATTAGGATTCGAATAACTTATTTCTGCTATTGAATAGCATGCGAAGGGATGAGATAACAATACACTAGGATACACCAAGTAGCACAGGTCGCAATCGCACTAACATCGTAAAAGTATTGCTATTGCACAAGGATGTAGTGCATGTTCACTAATTGAAGGCGCTCTCATTATTGAAAATGATTGCAATAATATTGTAATCAGTGGCTTTTTTGCATTGTAAGTTGCCAATCTTTCTCGCATATATAACCCACATTGTATTGATCGTTTAAAAACGGCATTCATTGACAAATTATGGAATAATGTTGCAATTTAACGGCGTAAATTGAAATTTTTATTGCCTGAAATTGCAGAATTATTTAAATATTTCCGTTGCACTGTGATCCTTAGGACGAGGCAAAATCAACTAAATCGTTTACATTGTGTCCAACGGATATTATAAGCGGTATTTACTACCGTGATAACGGATCATGCTGAATGGACCCATGGACGTTGCCAAATTTCTTCTGTCAAAATACACATTTTCTAAAAAGAAAAACAAAAACTATTCCAAAAAGCTATGTTTTCAAAGAAAGCCATTTAAAACCCTAATCTGCCATGTTCAAGGCACGATATTAGCGGATGAAAACGAGGATAAATCTCCATTTACAAGCTAGGTAGCTGATTTGTATTGCTTTTCCCGATAGTAATGCACTTCAAGTGCGTCCATCAAACTCGTTTTACCTATGATTTGTAGCACTTAAAGTCTACAAGAACGGAGGAAAGTTGGAGAAAAAGGCAAGTTCAGCGAACATACAGTTGATGAGAAAGTGGAGAAATATACACGAGTGAATAAGTGAGAGTCAATATTCCGTTTTACTCGAATCGTTTCGCAGCTTTTGCCACGTAAAACAAGTCTCTACGCTCGGTCGAAAGGGTGTGGCCAGGGGGAGGGAAAGGGGTAGGAGGGGGAAAGGGGGGGGGTCACAGGCTAATTCGACTTTAATATCGGGCGATAAATCGTTAAAATCCACAACTAAGCGAGCATTATTTGAAGCGTCTCTAAAATACTGGATGTATGCAGGCTATAGGGTCGAGCACGAGGGTATGTGTGTGTAATCTCGTGTTAGCAGATTTAAGTAACTGTGTGGGTATTCACGGGAGGGATATTATATTTATTACGGGCTCAAATACTATGTATGGTGGTGTATACGTTCATGGCATTTAATATTCCGCTGACACGCAACATTTATCAACGTAAAAAGGAAAATTGCTGAAAAACAACGCAATTAGAGCCCCGTGCACATATACCCCTCTCTCTTTCGGTGTTCATCCTTAAGTCTTCATTTTCAACAGATATCGATTCCTCATTTCTATGATGAGCCCGGAGGGGGGNGTCTATAATGAACCAATATCTGTAAAAAAAAACCGAGGGCACAATATTCATGAAAGCAGCTATGTCGCTAGTAAAACTTCCAAACCATGTATCCTATTTGCGGTGTTGAAAAACTCCGATCCCAATGATTTTTTTTGAAGGAGAACAAATCAACAATATTCCTTGAAGTTTTCAAAGGATTTTCCTTTCATACAGAAGTAAAATCACGGAGGTTTTAAAGGATTGGCGTTGAGTGGTTTCCCATTAAGGAAGGGATTTTTCTAAGTTAAAGCTCACATATCGCTGGCCAAAGTGCAAAACCACGTAGCTCCGCTCGCAATTTTGCAGACTTCATTCTTTCTTGAGAAAACTAGTCAATGTAATTTGATGAGAAGTTACTCTATTAGCAATATATTCTAAATAAATTTCAAGCTATAAACTTGGCTTGTTTTTCTCAGAAAAATAAAAGAAGAGCGGAAATTATGAAACACTAAAATGAAGATATACCTAGTATCGCACTTCGGCCATCTTTGAAATTGTAATCGGATCAACTTTTCGGTGGAAACAGCTCAAAATTCTTCCTGAGATGACTCAATTTTTCAAAATTTTCAATGTTTCCTCCCAAGGTTTCTCTGAGATGACACCCGTGATGAGGAAAAAAGGAAAGTAATCTTTTTTGTGGCCGATTTCAAATGCCGTCGAATTCGCAAGAAAGCGAGGCTAATAAACTCAGTGGGAAGGACTGTCGCATTATATCGATTCGGTTTGTGCCCGGGGCGGGGGAAAATTAAGCCGCGACTGTCGGTATCAAGATACTCGTCTTATTGTTTTTTTTAACGTTCCGAACATGGAAAAATAATTCGAATGAAAAATATGACAAAGGCATCCATAATATTTTTACAATCGGCGGTGGGTAATTAAAGAGGTAAGTGGTCTCAGACGAGTGCTCGTATCCACCCCTTTCCCTCCGTTTCGTCAGCAAACACGTAAGTACATGCAAACACGCACCACCGGCGCGGCGTGGGCATGCTTAGGAAGAATGCCGTATGAGCATTTAACGCCGCCAAATTTCCCCAAATTGTGTATTATGTCCATGGCTGCAGTCAAAAAATGCGATTCTGAAGTTGCCCAACTCCACTCGTTTTTTGTTTTTTGTTTCATATTTTGGAAACATATTTTTTTGGGGGAATGTTTCTCATAGTTTTCTTTGAAATTTCCAGATATTTAAAATTGCATCGCGAAAAAGTGTCCGAAAAAATTGCAAGAAAAATATTTAGAATTTTTCTAGTAAACTCGTCACCTACCTTAGGAAGTGTGTCAACTTCAGAGAGCTCATACGAATTTTTTCCTTAGAGCGGCAAAATAAAACGCCGTTTTATCATTCCAAGATTTCAGAATTTCGGAATTGTTTGGTAAATATTTTCGAGAAAAATTATGGGTATTTCCCAATGAACTTTTCAAAAACGTTAGATCCAGTTGTGAACATTGGCGGATCCAGCAATTTGGCAACACCGGATTTCCTCCATTTAAACCTATGGGAATGTATCGATTCTCGGAGGAGTCAGGTGCTCCGACAAGAATCGATTATTTAACATTGGTTTAAATGGAGGAAATTCGGTGTTGCCAAATTGCTGGATCCGCCTCTGGTTGTGAACAAATTGATTGAGTGAATTCTTACTTTTTCCACAAAAAAATCATATATTATCGAATGAATTTGGCAACGTCTGAGTGTTCTTACGTCGTTTCTCCTCGGGACGGCATCCGGACGGTGAGCCGTGAGCGTGCATCGCCCGGTGCCAAAAGAACAAGGGACACGGGATCAGGCGGAAAATATAAACGGGACGGGATCAGTGACGTGGCGTGTTTTGCGATATATCGATTGTTATGCCATTTAAACGTATGGAAAAGGATCGATAATCAGGGTGTTCGCAGCGAACACCTTAATAATCGATTCTTTACCATAGGTTTAAATGGCAGAACAATCGATATATCGCAAAGCACGCCACGCCACTGGACGCGATTGATGTTCGGAATGATATCCCGTCTGACTCCTACAAGTTCCCGGACGATGATGTGAGCAGTAAATTTTATCATCGCTTTTCGAGGGACTCACAACTTAGGGGGAGGGGGTGAGGGAAATAATGAGGACATTAAGGCCGATCACGACGGTCGACATTTCGAAAAACCGGTCATATTTTTGAGGGGCCGGGGGTGGGGGGTTTAAGGAATAAAGAAGGGGGGTGATAGTGCACGCGGGTTTATGTCGCCTCGTAAAAATTGCGGCCGCGCTTGGATCGTGAATCAACGCAACACCGAGCGCGACATTCGAATTTATACTTTCACCCTCCTGATTTCTTTTTTTTTCTTCTTTTTTTTACCTAGAGTATCGCCATGCCACTAGTTGGCCGGTTTTTTTTTTTTATTTTCCGCACGAAATAGGCCTCCATAGAACACCTACAGTCAGGGCCGGATTAAGGGGGTGGCCACTTGGGCCGCGGCCCATGGCGGCAAATTTAGGGGGCGGCAAATTTTGCAATTTTTTTAAATGTAGCTATAAAGAAAAATCGGATTCAGAAAAAAAAAATTACGAACGAGAAAAGGTGACAAAATCTCTAATTTCCTGAGAATATACCTCTAATTTTGTCGTCCTTCTGTAATACAATAGACAGCACCTTTAATTAGTTGAGTTAAGACTAAGAGAGAAACCGAACACGGAATTTGGCCTGGAATGGCGCGGCGCAGGGAGCAATGATGACGAGAACGTGAGATGAAAAGGAGAAACCCTCGGTGCGGCGGTCGGCATGTAACATATATTAGCGCCTACAAGACTGCATGAATACTTCACGCATTGCGCCAAAGACAGTGCGGTCGCTGCGGTCAGCAGCAGGCAGCGTGAAACGCATAGCGCCTACAAGACTGTATGAATACTTCACGCATTGCGTCAAATACAGTGCGTGCAGCAGCGGTCGGCCCGACACGCTTAGCGCATGTAAGACTGTAGGAATACTTCACGCATTGCGTCAAACACAGTGCGGTCAGCGCGGCGCAGCGGCGGAAGTTAAAATCATTAAACCACATTTATGTTTGTTCTTTCATGATTTTTCGGTTCATCTCTTATAAATGGGGGGCCTTGTCCATACAGAGATAGGTTTACGGAACTTAACTTTCGCGCCAAGATCCGTGAACTTTTGCTAGTAATGTTGACAGGGCTTTTGCAAAAAATGTGACCAACACGAGAAAATGCGTCTTATACGCCTCTTTCCCTCCGGCACGTTCACTTGATGGTTTTTATTGATGTTTCAAAACGAATGAGAAGGGAGCAGCAAAATACAGGCGGCCCATGGGCGGCAAGTAGGTAAATCCGGCCCTGCCTATAGTTGTAAATAAACAAACAAAAAATGGCAATAGTTGAACAGACGTGGCTTTTTTCCTATTTAAGAACACATTATGGCTGGTCCATTAAGTTTTTGAAAAAAATTGAATTCTTCCTCCAGCTACCAACTTTCTACCTGATGGTTTCGACGTAAATCATCAGCTCATTTAATTTCGGACAAAATCGAACAACCTTCCGATGCAATAGTGTCAACCCCGAGCTGATTATTGGAATTGATGGACAAAGTGATA